ATTAAACCAAAATCCAAAAAGGCAGAAAATTATCAAACAACAACTAAAAACAACAAAATTTCTCTAAACGCAAAAAAAAAAAAACATCTAGAGCTAGGAAAAAAAATTAAATGCACGAGGCAAAACTTATCTAAAGGAGCAGATCCCTAGGTGTAAGAATTGGAACTGACGGCAACACAAAAAAGGGGAGCAACAAAAAAAAAGACATGCAAGTTCAAAACTAATTTTAGCTGAAAGGGAAAAGCAGTTCCCCAATACAGCAAGAAACAAACTAATTTGGTTAATCAAGTTAATCAACCATGAACTATTGAAATATCCGGATTTAAAAAATGTAAATCCACATGTGTTCGGAGTACTAAATATCATGATGTTATAGCCACATTATCAAAGAATCTCAGAAATATAGTCCCTGACCATCTAATGGTCGACAACATTGCAATCTCAGAAATATAGTACTAAACTTTATTGGCTTTTAACATAGAAAGCCAATAAAGTTTCACAGACTATAATAGCAAAAGGGCCAAAAGGAAAACAGATTTCCCTCCAATTCATCAATTAGACCAAAATCCAAAAAGACAAAAACTTTATCAAGCAGCAACAAAAAAGCAAAATTTATCTAAATGAAAAGAAAACCAAATTATGTAGAGATAGGCAACAGCAACATACCAAAAACAGAGAATAAGAACAATGAACAAAAGAGGCCATTTTTTTGGGCAAAGGGTAGGGGACCAGAAGGGGGGGAAAACGCAACATTCCACAGACCAAAAGAACCACATGACAAAACACACATGATCTACATGTCATCGAGCTTGTAAGGAGGAACAACTGGAGCTTTCAGGAGCGCAGACCAGCAGCAAACCCATGTAGAGCAGACACTAGAACAACCTTAGAACAACCAGGAAAGAAAAAAAAACTGCGGAATGCGGAGAGAAAAAATAAAATAAAAAAAACAAAGCTAGGAAAGGCAAGATCGTACCTTATTCGAGAGGAAAAACAGAAGGCATGCATTCAGGGAGGAAAAAGGGTCAAAGATGGCACTTCCTTGGCCTGTAAGGAAATAGTTTCAAGAATCACTTCACAAACCAGTAAAAGAAACCTGCAAGGAAACAGTCTCAAGAAAGAATAAAATTAAAAAAAAAAACAAAGCTAAGAAGGGCAAGATCGCATCTTATTCGAAGAAAAAATAAAATAAAAAAAACAAAGCTAGGAAGGGCAAGATTGCACCTTATTCGAGTGGAAAGACAGAAGGCATGCGTTTGGGGAAGAAAAAAAGGTCAAAGATGGTACCTCCTTGGCATGTAAGGAAGCAGTCTCAAGAATCACTTCACAAACCAGTAAAAGAAACCTGCAAGGAAACCGTCTCAAGAATCACTCCACAAACCAGTAAAAGAGAAAAACATTGAAAGAGCAAGAAGATGGTTCGCATCAGTGGCGAACACAAGCTATATAGCAGACATTTGCAGTTCATTTGCCGAAAGGACTTAGACACAAGGAAAGAGGATGATTCAAAATACCCACAATTGCACATGTAGCTAGAACCTATAAGAGAACAGAATCCAAGTCCTCTAAATACACAAAACGGAACATACCTTGCAGGAAGATATTCTCAAACCAAGTAAGATAAGATAAGAAAAAATAAGGAGAAAAAAAAACACACAACCACATAACTGAAAGAGCAAGTTTGCAGCCTTCCGGAGAGCGAAACAGTAGATCTAAAGGACCCAAAGAACCACATCACCGAAATAGCAACCATATCACCGAAAAAGAGCAAGTTTGCAATCTTCCGGAGTGCAAAATAGTAGATCTAGAGGACCTAAAGGACCCAAGAACAAAAAATCCAAAAAAAAAATTTACAGGGAAAATTCGCACAGAAGACCGCAACTAACCGTAAAGGAAGAACAAGAAGGCTTACAACGGAGGAGGAGGAGGAGAAACGAACGGATGACAACTGATCTGCACCACTGAAACCCAGAGCACGCGAGAGATAGAGGCTCGATGGGGCTTGTGCGGCTCGGGAAGGGAAAGAAAGAACAATTTTCAGGCTAAAGATCAAGCACAAAGCTCACGGCAAAGCCTGCATTGCACCGGAAAGGAAGAAAACCCACAACGGAGGAAGAGCAAACCCCAAAGCCACAGACTAAGCTCAGTTAAGTTAACTAACGAGCGGCGACCATACCAGAGGTGGCTGATTCCGTACTTGGGAGCAGTGAAGGCTAAACAACAACGAATGAAGAGAACTGGATATCTCAGCAGGCTGTTGAACCAGGGCTCAGAACAGGCGGATAAGCAACAGAGCAGCATTGTCCAAAAAAAAGGAGAGAGAGAAGGCAGCGATAAGAAGAGACATGTGATAGTACCAGATAGAGAAACAAGTTTATGAACACGGCAGACAACGCAGAAGGAGGCACATGGGATACTGGCAGAGGAGAAGAGGCGAGCAATACGCGAAGATCACAATGTTCTCAACCCACATGCGCGGCACGTGAGAGGACGACGAAAACCATCCAGGTCATTAGAGCTCTTCGCTCTTTATCTACTTATGTTGAGAAGTGTAAGCAGTAACTAGTGAGTGTGTTAGTAAAAGATCATCCTGTGATCAAAATTCAATTTTCTTAGTTCTCTTTGAACAAAAAAAGAAACTTTCCATTAGCAAAGGAATGGTGAGCTAGAACTGGCTCAATAATTCACTCCATAAATACATTGCATCTCTAATTGCTTGTTCAAATTTTCTGTGTTTTTCCACCCAAAAAAATACATATGTTTACAGAGAAAACATAATCACTACTAACTTCAAAGTCAGGTTGTGATAAAAGATATTTGTTGTGAATGTGTCATCACTGCAAATTACAAAGCCATCAGGCCCTCAGTTGAATGCATCTCTGGTTTTCAATCATTTCTTCATTAGAATTTCTGGGATTGATTTACTCAATACGCATCATATACTCGTATAGTCAGCCAACAAATTTTCGCGAATTTGCAGCAACATATGATTATGCTTCTGAGGTTCATTATGAGAAAAACAAATCTAAGCCTACTGATACAGCTTAGCATGCTTGTTCCATAATAGAGCGACCTGTAATTACACAAGTATGCAAAGGAAAATTTCAAGAGCAAACTGCTATTTAGCATTCTGCAGGTCCAAGCCTCAGTCTTCTACCCAGTTTTGATCCTTAGGCCCTCCAAACTTACATGGCAGAGGTTCATTTGTATTGTATTGGGGTCACCAGAAGCATCTTCCCTCGATAAAAGTTTCAAGTGGAAAAAGAAAAAGTCTTGCGATTTTATCACTATCATGCCCCCACCATCTTTCCTCACCACACATGCAAAAGGGCAAAAAAAGCCTTTCCCACAATATGTACGCACAAAAAAACAAAGAAAAAAAAAAGTCTCAACCGCAACGTATTACTATTTTTAGATAATAAAAAAGTTGTAGATCATAAGAAAGATGTAAAAATTTTGAAATTTTCAAATGGTCAGAAGTACTCGTTAATACATTTAAATTATATATAACTTAGTATGTGAGTCTGTATAATCATAATTATTACACACCTGTATTTAGATGTTTTTTCAAATTGATTTAGCCCCAAATCTAAATTTTGGAAGATGTACATACAATACACATTTTATTTTCTTGGTGATGTGTTAGAGCCTACAGCAATGCTCGTTAATTACACTTCTATCTTGCAATACATTTACGATAATGTGTACAAGATGCATAATCTGTTGCATAATCTCGGATTTTTCTGATCTCCAATCGTCTTAGTCTCCCAGGTCCAAGCCCATAATGAAGTAGCACTTGTGATAAAAATCCAGAGCCTGGCCAGGGATACCAGACCAAGGGGCCGCAGCTGACTTAACATCTGCGCAGTTGGAATCGCAACCACCATGTTGAAGTTAATGTGTGTCAGTCCAGGTAACTAAAAAAGTGACATATCAAAAGAAAGCATCTTTTTCCTCACTTTACACGTATTCCCAATTCATGGAACTTTCAGGTATTTTTTTATTATTATTTTTCAAATTTGGGTTTTTTTTCCAATTTGGGTATGTTTTTTTATAAAAATCAAATTTTATTAATGAATTACTATTTTAATAGTAGTTTAAACATATACTAAAAATAATGAATTTATAATTTAACAGATATAATAGATCTAAAAATTCATGTAGAAGGAAATTGTCTGATGGCTGCAAAGGATCACAGAAATTGGGCTTTCCAAAGCAGGATCTTTGGTTGGAAAGCTTTAAATGAAAGCCAAGTTGATCTCTGGTGCCCATTTTCATGTTGTCTTTACCCTGTACTTTGAACAACACCCACCACCCAAGGTCATATTATATTTTATCTCTATGATTTAACATTTTTTTATATAATCTTTTTATGATTTCAAAAATTGTACATAATCCCCTCATAATTTAGATTAAAGTGTCAAAATAACAGAATTTATAATCCATAATGAAATCACCTAAAATGTCAAAAATATCCCAATATAAAGTTGAAAATTATTTATTAACCACAGGAGAGTTATGTGTATATCTTGAAAACTATAAGAGGTTTATGTGGTAAAACATAAAATCATATGAGATTAGTTTCATGTATATTATGTCTATATATTTTGGTAATTTCAGCCAATTTAATTTTTAAACAAAGGTAATTTCAACATTTTTAAAGATTCCGTTACGAATGACCATTTCCGTCATTTTGACAACTTAATTCAAACCATGAAAATGTTATACATAGTTTTTAAAACTATAAGAGGGTTATGTACAAAAATATTAAACCTATGGGGCTAAAGTGTAATTTGTCAACAAAAAAAAAAAAAAAAAACCCACCCCATGGTAATCTGAAGTGTTCATTTTTTGTGCCACACATTGATTGAATACTTAGATTTGATTGAATATTGTAATGCTGAAAACAAGTCTAGTCCTGCTCATATAGCATGCTTGTCACAAATTAAAGCGAGCAATAATTGCACTCTGCTACCTACATGGGACAACCCTTCTCCACTTTGGTTCTTTAGGCCCGCCATATTGACATGGCAGAAGCTCATTGGTATGGCGGGTCACCAACAGCATATGCCTGTTGGTACAATCTTCCCTTGAAAAGTTTCTGTTTCACCGCGAAGAAGGAAAAGTCTTGCGATGTACTTCAACCAGACATACCACACGCACACAGATATATTGAAAAAAAATAGTCTTGATCCTTGACGGCAATGTGTGACTGCTGTTCTTCCTGTTCTTAGATCATAAGAAAGTTGCAGATCTTGAATATCAATAGCTACAACAGACAGAAATCAAACATCAGAGTGAAAAGCAGATACCATGATGAACATCTCCTCCAGCAGTAGCACTAGTTGCTTCGACTCTGCTTTAGATTATCTGGGCCGGCTTGAAGGGAATTTTACCAAAAAGGTGAACTGGCAGTTTGATTCTGATATCCGGCAGTTATGTTCTCATAGCCGGAAGCTGAAGGTGGGGATACGTCTATTGAAAACCTTTCATCTGTATGTAACAAAGTGTAGGAGGAGGAGCAACCAGGGTACGTGTTTGGGATATGATAAGGAGAACAGGGGTGATGCCAAGTCTGACAGATTGAGACCTAGCAGTATTTCGTTCAGGATTCAAGATCTGGTTATGGGGATACTGCTGGGACTTGACTCTGCTTTTTTCAGATTTAAACAAGGTGCGTCAGATCTTAGTCATATCAATTGTGAGCTCGCCAAAATCGAGGAAAATATGAGGTGTTTTTCTGAAACTGATATCGAGGAATTCAACATCACCAGTTGGTTGCTCTACTACTCGCTGGGAGATTCACAACTAGCTATGGATTTTATTGACTCCATTTCAGAGAATCTGAGGCATCTTTGCCGCGTAGAAGATGAAGTTGACGAAGCTCAGAGAATTGTACTGAAAATTCTTGAAAAGAAGCTAATGTTCTTGAAGAGTTTCATTGGTTTTGCCACACTTCAAGGTTGTGAGGTTCAGCAATCAAAAGATCTGTTGGTCCACGTCGAAGTTGCGGCTGTCAATGCTGCAAGCCTGATGTGTAGATACTGGTTTCAGATAAATAATGAACAAGTTCACAATGAGATGAAACCTGAAATTTTCGAACTGATACACAAGAAGATTGATCCCATTGACCCCCAGGTCCGAGAAATGTATATCAATGTCTTGGCAGCTTCCAAGTTATCAAGATCGTCCTACACTTTCACTATGAAGGAGAATAAGCATCTTGTGACTGAATTTATTGATCATCTCCTGCAGAGTCTTATGGAGCTATTAGAATCTTATACAAGTTTCCTAGTTCCAGTGAAGGATCAAATGTTAAAACTCCACCAGGGACTAAGATTCCTGGTTATCTTTCTTAGCGGGCAGCAGGAGAAGTTCGATGAGCTAAATGATGAAATGAAGGATCTAATTGGATTTGTGGTCTCTGATGCAGGTATTGTGATTGTCTCCCTTTCTGTGAACGAAATGAAAGAAGGCTTGCACAAAGAAACAGATCTGGCACTTTCTCATCTGCTCGAAGTGCTCAAGTTGATCATTGCTGAAGTTGGACACATTTATTCAGCACCATCATCATCATCACTTACTTTCCCTAGGACTAATGAACTCGGCTCTCTTGATTCTCTTCTAGAAACTCTCAAGGAACTAGCAAGCTCTACAGCTGCTTCAATTGCTTTCCCAAACGATCAAATACGCACCATCCTAGAAGATCTTGTCTTCTTAAGATCTTTTCTAGGAAATGTTGTAGAGCAGCGCAAACGAAATGAAAAACTCCAAGCTCTTTGGAGTCGTGTCATGAAGGTTGCTTACAGTGTAGAACTAGAAGTTGACTTTGCACTGGCTGGTGATCAACATGAACATTGTTTGGATGCTATTGCTAGAGATATCAAGCTTGTGAAGATAGAGGCTGAAGAGATCTATGATAGCATAAGATATGATGTTGAAACCCAGAGGCTAACCAAGATTACCATTCACATGCCGGCACAAGTTACTGCTCCAACGTTTAATGAAGCTCTGGTAGGTCTCGATGATGAGGTAGAAAGTATAATTGATAGACTTACGAGAGGATCAAGCCAGTTGGATGTTGTTGCCATCGTAGGTATGCCTGGGCTTGGTAAGACAACTTTAGCCAATAATGTGTATGGTGATACTTCAATAAAGTTCCACTTCCAAATTCTTGCTTGGTGTACTGTTTCTCAAGTATATAGCAAGCACAATTTGTTACTGCAGATTTTGAGTGTTATTGATTCTAACAGTTCTGACCAATGCCATGAGATGAATGAAGATGATCAATGGCATGAGATGAATAAGGATGATTTGGCTCAAATGTTGTATCAGCGTGATGATCAATGGCATGAGATGAATGAAGATGATTTGGCTCAAACGTTGTATCAGCGTTTGAAAAGGAAGAGGTATGTCATTGTTTTGGATGATGTTTGGGATATTGAAGGGTGGAATTTGTTGAAACACTCATTCCCAGATGACTGCAATGGAAGCAGGATACTCTTAACCAGCAGATTTCAGAATTTATCATTGCAAATTAAACCTGATAGCCAGCCCCACCATCTTCGCCCACTTACCGATAAGGAGAGTTTTGAATTGCTGCAGAAGAAGCTATTTGCCAAAGAAGATTATTGTCCTCCAGCATTAAGGGAAGTTGTACAGCACGTAGCAAAAGACTGCAAGGGCCTACCTCTCACCATTGTCCTCGTTGCTGGAATTCTCGCTACTACTGAGCAAGATTGCTGGGAAGAAGTTGCAAGACGTCTAAGGTCTAGCATTTTTGCTGACGATGAGCACTGCATGAAGACAATTGAGCACAGTTACAATTATTTACCAGATTATTTGAAGCCATGCCTTCTTTATTTTGGTGCATCTCAAGAAGATAAAGACATTCCTGTCAGAAAGTTGTTATGGCTTTGGATGGCTGAAGGATTCGTGCAAAAAACTGAAGGAAAGAGTTTAGAGGACGTGGCGGATGACTATTTGATGGATTTGATTGGGAGAAGTCTAGTTATGGCTACCAAACAAAGATCTTTAGGTGGGATCAAAGTTTGCCGAGTTCATGATTTGGTACGTGAGTTTTGTGTGGCAAAAGCAAGAGAAGAAAGTTTTCTACAAATTTCACATGGGGATGATCATCTTACTTTTATTGGACAGTGTAACCCCCACCGACTAGCTATTTACCCTACTACGAGTCAGGGACTCAAAAAGTCAATGCTATTTTTCCCCAATTTGCGTTCTTTGCTCTTCTTTGATGTTTATGAGGAAGCGGAACTGGGTGAAATTTGGTTCAAACTTCTATCATCTAAACTTATTAGAGTGTTGGATTTGGGTTACAATTTGGCTTTTTTTTCAGAGGAAGTAGTAGTATTCTTTGTTCACTTGAGGTACTTGAACATTAGATTGGACAGTAAAGCTGGTATCCCATCTGCAATAGCCAAGCTCTCGAGATTAGAAACATTTGTCATAATAAAACCCCGTGGAGGGTGCATTTTGTTACCAAACACTATCTGGAACATTAAAACATTGAGGCATCTTGTCGTATCATCTAATGGAAGTGGTTTCGAATTTCCCATCGACAATCTTGAAGGCTCACCAGATTTAATACATTTAGACACTTTAACCCTTGCAATTGATTCCTCTCCTCAAAGCTTGCAAAAGACACTGACAAAGATTCCGAGCATCCGCAGGCTAAAATGCGTGGATGTCCATGACGGAGTGCACGATGGTATTCTCGTGCTGGAGCACTTGAGTCGACTAGAATCACTTAAGATGAGCAGTTTTAAAGGATATGAGTTTGAATTCCCATTGAATTTGAGAAAGTTGACTCTCTCAAATAATCGTCAGCCATGGAGTAAAATTTCAGCAATTGGAAAGCTGCCCAACCTTGAAGTCCTTAAATTAGGCTGTGATTCCTTTGTGGGGGAAAAGTGGGAAATGAAAGAAGGGGAGTTCCAAAACCTCCGATTCTTGGAATTGTCAGAGTTGGACTTTCGATGGTGGACCGCCTCTTCTGATAATTTTTGCTGTCTTGAGAAATTGGTTTTGAGTTCTTGTGAATCGCTGGAAGAGGTCCCTTCTTGTTTAGGGGAAGCCCTCACTCTTGACATGATTGACCTCGAAGGCTGCCGTGCGTCTGTTGTGACTTCTGTGAAGCAAATTCAACACCAACAGATGGATATGGGAAATAATGATCTAAAATTAATGATAGATAGGCGCTCTGATCGGTTAAAGTTGGCCCGTCTCAGAAGCAAAATAAGGATCGAATTTTCAGGTTAGATATATTTTCTTTGATGTTCTATTTGTATATGTTCAATCAGTTCAATGCTATTAATTTCACCTACTTCATGTTTTGCAGCCTACATAGGTGCTCTTCGTTTTATAGAAAGAGCATCTGACTTTTAAACAGATATTGGAACTGTACTGCCAAGTTTTTGCCCGTAAATTGTCTGGTATCAATGCTCCAATTCTCTATTTCTTTTTTCTTCTACTAGTTCCTTTCATTAATTCAAGTACCTAATGCAGCAGCGTACCGTACAGGAGGACATCCAAAATAAAACCACAGACTGCTGGAGATGCATGGATGACTTGATAGCCTTCTTGCATTACTGGCCTGCAACGGATCCCTCAACTAGGGAAGCATTTCTGATGCTGGCAAGGTTCTTGAATTGAATATTTCAACTGGATGGATCTGTCACTCACCGGAAGCTTCATCGGCTATTTAAACTTCCAGTTTGATCTTGTTCTTGACAGATAGTCTCTTCATTCCTGCTCATCAAGTGTTGGAAGGGGATCTCTCTTCGCCGATCACATTTGGAATGGGATCAAGTGTTGCTTGTAGCTCAGACTCCGAAAGTGCAGCAATACAAATTCCATTTGCTCTTAATCAAATGAAAATGACTATTGGAATCAAGTGAAAAATTTTTTTTGCTCAAAAGGAAAAAAGCATGCACCAAATTGAATTGGATGGTATATTTTTCTCTCAGTAATTAACTTGCAATACGTGATGAAGATCTGAGTAGGATAAGAAGGATAAAATTTTAGATTTTGTTTATAGTATTAAATATGTCTCAATGATGGACAAATTGTATTTTTGTTTATAGTGAACGTGATTTTTTATCCGTGTCTTGTTCATTTACATATCTATTATTTACTCCTCCTGTTTATCCATACTACCTTCTTAAGGAAATCCCTGTTTTTAGTGAAGGAAATTTGAAATGGCAGCCATCAACCATTAAAAGTGTCTGTGATGCCCATTTTCTTCTGATTCAACTTTCTTTTTTTCAACTCCAGTAATAGATTTTTGTTAATTAATTAACCCTAATCCTAGATTGTACTCCAAAAGCCGGCAACTCTTGAAATCATCCCAGGGACTTAACTACCCAACCCAAACCCCTCCCAGAACCGATGTCAACTTTCGTTTTTGTTCAATTTAGGATTATTAAAACAGCAGTACTGCAACAGATTATTTTTTTTCGAGTTACAGATTTCTAATATGTTGCAATGGAAAATGCTTCAAATTTCGAACTGCTTGTTCAAAGAAGCAAAACTGCAGCCAGATTGGTGGTACTACCAACTATTTACCAACAAAAAACTAAAAATAGAGACAACGAAAACTGCTACTGAGGTCCAAAAAGGTTGTGGTGGATATTTTGTTCTTAATGCGTCACTAAGCTAAAAAAAATTGCGAATTGCTCTCAGCTAAAAAGTGCATCCAAGTTTTTTGGACATTATGTATTAAAATTTGGTAGAATGCTTAGATAATAGACTCACGTAGCATTCTTCGCAGGAGAAAAAGTTGAGAGCAGAGTGCAATAGGCATCCTGCAAGTCTAAACACACAGACATTATGTGCAATAGACATTATGTGTTTTAGCGTTGTAATCAGCTTTGTGAATTGCAGTGCCTAAGGGGCAGTTTTATTACCATAGGGTCACTTTTCTTTCAACAACTCTTGAATCTACTTAAAAAAGTGTTCAAATCATGTAAATTGATGTGAAAAAATACGACGACCGTCCGCCGAGTCCGGTGTGGGCAGCTGTTGCCGGCGGCGAAGATTTCTTGAGAAGGAGAAAGAGAAGTAAAAAGAAAGATAACAAAACAAAACAAAAATAAAATATAAAAAATACATATAATATTTGAAAAAAAAAGAGGAAATTTTTCTAACTTTTAAAATTCATTACTACGAAGTTATCAAATACTCTTTGGTCTTTGGTTTTCATCAAAACCTATTATTATTATCCACTTTATTATACTCATACAGAAGTTGACTGTGCAATTTGAACCAAATAGCTCCTTAATTTATGGTTGTTCCATTCTTAATTTTTTTCTTTTTCTTTGTTCCTGTTTTTATTGAGCAAAAATATGTATGTATGGGACGAATTGCATTTAACACTTGGTAGTACATTTAACATCATAATCCCCTATGGTAATAAAATTGCGCCTTATGTTTCAATATAAAGTATCACGATAAAGTCAAAACTTTATAAAAAAAAAGTTTATTTTTGATTAATCAAAACTTAAAAGAGTTAAACTTTTCATGGCTAGATGAAAAAAGATTAACTCTTAAATCATTTAACAAAAAAAAAAAGGATTAATTACATCTACCTCCCTTGTGGTTTGACCAAACTACCATTAAATCCCTGTGGTTTGGTAATATTACAAGCACCTCCTTTTTAAGTAACTCCTTCAAAGACACTTAAATAGAAGTAGTAAAATGTCATGTTTACCCTCTTTGTAAAAACTTGTAGTTAGAGAAAACTTACCGTTAAAAAATCGAAGGTAGTTTCAATAATAACGAATTAAACTAAGAGTTTGCTACTTAAGTAAAACAGTTTTTAACCAGTATAAAAGAAAAAAAAAATAAAACCAAGCATGTAATAATGAAATTTGATAAAATATGTGCAGAAAGGAACAAAAGAAAGAAAATGAAGAAAGAAGGAAAGCCTAGAAAACAAAAAAGAAATTAAAAATTGAAAAGCAAAGAAAGGAATGGAAAAAAAGTATAGTAAAAAAAGGAAACCAACAATTGAGCAACGAAAGAAAATTTATAGAAGCAACGTAAAGGTTCACTCAATCCATCACAAAAGAGTCTCTACAAGTATGTAACCCTTTGTCGGCCAATAATCTTGTTTGTTGTATTTCCCTTCTCTGAAACTACCACAACCACATCGACCAATCCAGAGACGAGTACAATCTCAAACTCACTCAAATTGTCAATGAGGAATTAATGGTTATCAACCAGGATCTGACTTAATTCATGCGGGTATTTAGAGTTCCAAATAATCATTTTTTCAACTCTGGGTTATATCTGTAGTTGGTCATTGGGTTTGATATTATCAAATGGATTTTTTCTCGGCTTATAATGGAGTTAAAAGAATGGTTGTTATGGGAATAATAGAGATGAAGGCAATTAAATTTCTATAAACTTATTATGATTTTAACAGTGAAAACGTGCTCATCAAGAAAATGATCATGAAAGAGGTATCAATAATATGTCTCGATGATTTTGCTGCCATAGTTATGTCAACGGTGGTAAATGGAGTAGTTTAGATTTTGAAGAGAAGCAACGAAGGGAAGGGGAAGGTTATGGATTTAGGGGCATTTCATTAAATTTGTTGATGGCATCATTATAATCTTAACAGTCAACAACAATGGACTAACGGGAGGGGTGTATCTGTTATACATCTTTCAGTTTGAGGGACCTTTTTGTAGTTTGGCTAAATTCCAGGGAGTAAATGGTAATTTGATTAAACCCCAGGGGAGCTAAATGTAATTAACCCAAAAAAAACTATATAGAGAAAAGAACTATAAGCAAAAAAGTCAACCTTTTCTTGACTTGATAAAAAAAATTAACCTTCAAATCATTTCACAAAAAAAAAGGAAAAAAGAAAAGAACCAAAGCGGAGTACTACTCCACGTCAGCAAGGGCTAATTGCTACTAATCTAGCAAAATTAAACACACAAAAATGAAAGGTCATTAAAGTTGAAAAAAAAAAAAGAAACCCCCAATAGTCCGAACTACAAGAAGCACCATGCACAATTGCAATAAAGAAGATAGGAATGTTAGTCTTTCGTTATCATTTCTCCTTTTCTCGACACTTTTGGGAGTATTTCACATATTAAGCGATTCAAGTAAATCATTAAATGCATTATATACATGTTTGTAACTTTTGGTGTATGTGATGCTATATTATCCATTGCAATAAAAAAAAAAAAAGAGAAGGCTGAGATCTTCTCAATTGAAATTTGTATTTTTTAAATAACAAATTGGCAAAAAAAAAATTTTTTTGGATAAATTCTTATAAACCCCTATAATTTTAAATAATACCAGATGAACCCCTTAAAATTTTAAAACAATCACATATCCCCTGTGGTTTGAAGTAAAATGAAGAATGAATGAAATGTATAATCAGTTATGACATTTATATAAAACACTTTTTAAAAGTACATATGATAAAATATTAATCTTCATGTAATCTCCCTGTACTTTTATACAAGATAGTTAGACTATCGACTGATTATCATTTAAACAAGCATACTATTGGTATTTCAATTAACGATGTTACATAGATGATTTTCTGTCAAATTTTTACTTTGTATAAAATTATAAGAGGTGGGGTGAATATTTTAAAACGTTAGGAGGTCATGTGTTAATAGACGAAATTATAAGAGGATGACGTGTAATTTATCCTAAAATTTTTAACAACCCTCCCAACTGGCACTAATTATTATTGAAGCCCACGATGGCCCAGTAGAATAGCACTAAAATTGTGATGGGTCCCACCCATCTAGCACTAATGAGCAATCATGCAACGAAGTTAAAGATTTAGAAACCTGAAAACGACCTCAAAACGACTCGTGTTTCTGCCTTAGTGGATGCAACAAAAGGTTTGTCGACAAGCACCGCTACCTGACCGGAGGTTGTTAGGGAGGTTGCGAAGCTGGTGCCGGCGGCCGGAGCTTCTGCAGTGAATCTCTTCAAATAGAGCTGACTACGGTGCTCGTTAACGACAGGTATTTTTAAATTCATGGAAATTGAAGAGGGAAAACAAGAATAAGTTGATTAATTGTTCCATTTCATCTGCTGTTTATATATCCTGTATGTTCAAGGAAAAAATATAAACAAGGGAATGAAAGAGGCGGAGAACAAAATCAGTTTCCTAGTTGTACGTTTGATACCTTATGCTCGGGTTTTTCAGTTTCGCAGTTGTTTGATGCCTTAACCGTCAGACTAAGCTAATTAGAGAGAGAGAGAGAGAGAGAGAGAGAGAGAGAGAGAGAGAGAGGGAAAGAAATTAAGGGGAAATTCTCTGAAAAGTTTCCTGCTTGACTAAGAAATTAGGACCACTCTATGACCATAAGTCATACTAGTAATACTCTATGCAATATATTTAGTTTTTGAAGACAGGAAAAAAATGGAAAAATAATAAAAGCATCTGTTACGTGTAGTTGGAAAAAATTTTTTTATTCGAAACGATAATTCCTATTCTACACACTCCTACTCTACACTAAGGGATGGGATAGATCCAAAGAAATCAATGAAAAATTTAAAAGGGACTGAACCATAATGAGATGACACTTTTAGGAAATCGTAGAGAAAAATGTAAGCCAAAAGCTGTGATCCCTTGATCCAAACCCAAGGGAGTGGTGGTTAACTCAGCCTAGCTAAGTTGGTTGTTACTAATAAGTGGATAGATGATTTTTTTTTTTTGGAATCACGTTTGACATTTTTTCTTAACTAAAAATATTTGTTGCTCCACAAAGACTAATCTTCTGGGAACTTTTTCTATTGGGTCTGGCTTAATTTTTTGTCTTTGCCTTTTTCCCTTTTTTGGTAATCTCTGGGTTGATTTTAGGGAATCAACCGTAGAAATTTCCAGTTTCAACTCTTCTTAAAAGAAAAATTATTTGAATGAAATTTTATTGCTATAATAACACCTAGGAGTTATCCAAAAAACAAATGTATTGCTTCAAATCATAATCTTTAAGCTCTAATTCAGTTCTAGAAAGCCAACCTTATGTAATTACCAAATTGAGCTCTACCTAAAGTCAATTTCATAATTATGTCTTGCCATTATGAGACTCCAACAATCACATCACTTGGGTAATTCAACTAATTGGGTTGCATCATGCATGG